ACAATAATAGAAATTCAAATTTGAAGCAATTCAAATTTAATCTAACATCCATTTTAAACAAATAAAGCAAATATATTCTTATAACAATAACACCAATTTCATCCATAAAGCAATAAAGCAACTCCAATTTTCCCGTAACAACAAAGTCGGATTGTTAAACTTGTAGTTTTGGTCCCTAAAACCAAATTGTTAAACTTCTGGATTTGTTTGTTAAAATAAAAACATAATGAGAAATCAAAACATAATGAGAAGAAAAATATCTAAAAAGCTTCAAAACATAAAATACACAATGGGGATTATTTCAGATCACAGTGAAGAAGATAAGTAAAACCCAGAAAAACCTAGAACAAAACACAATGGTTGAAAATAAATAGTTGTAAAATAAATTATTATTAAAAGTAGAGAACATATCATAAACATTTTGTGTTGCAAACCAAAAAGTATGGATAATTTAAGGAAAGAGTAAAGGATACAGAGAACATGTAGGATTTAAAGCTCAAATATAATTTATAAGTTGCAAATAAGAATAAAGACAGAAATAACAAAAATGATTTTGTTTGCATATACATAATTAAAATTAAAACCTAATTGTATAAACAAAGCATATCCTTTTTCAAATGGATGCAGCCAACGATTCTGATTCTGATAGTGGAAATTGTTTAGGGTTGCTACTTTTTATCGAATCTTCGAGACATTTTGGATTGCCTATAATAAAATCATCAATAACATGAGATACTTTGGAAAAGGATGGACATGAAACAATTTCAATAAAAACAGGAAACAATGAAAAATGATATGCAAACAACTAAATTAACTTAAATAATCGAACTAAAAATAAAAGAAGAAAAAAAATCAAGTTATAAGTTGTAGGTGAAACGAATTGCATGAATCGAAGGATATTCAGTATGAAAACGAAAAAATTGCAAGCGTAAAACTTACTGGTATGCAAATATTTTTTTATGGTTGCATATCAATTGCATATGCCTGACTCTTATAGTGGGATGGACGAATGGTTTTTATTTTTTGCATTAGTAAGCCAATGTCTTTATGTTTTCCACTGTAATTGTATTTATGCAGCTCACGTTGAAAACCGAAAAAGTTGTCCTATCTTCAAAAAAAATGCAACGTCATGCATGAAAATTCATTCAAGAGATTGAAAAAATCTGACAACTAACATTTATCCAACCCATAACCGCATCTGCAAATTCCATCAAAATAAATGTTATGTTTAAGCTTTCCAATATTAAGCATTCATCAATACTAGAATCAAATAATGTTGATTTTCCGCACCTCGAGGTGCATATTCTATATCACTCATGTGGAATGACATAAATGTAATAATCAATTACTAAATTTTGGGTTTGACTTAACTAAACTAATTAGAATAAGAATATATGCTTAGAAGCATGAGTTGAGAACAACCCATATGTTGGGTTAGAATAAGGAGTTGTTCACCCAACTGATAAAATTAGAGAGTTATATTAAATAAATTTGAAAGGAGTTCCTACCTAAATAACAGAGTCTTGTGTAATCTACCTACCACTTACTTACCTCAAAGTGAAATATGGATCTCAATCTACTAGAAAGTCTTCCAACAGGAATTTTTATTTGAAATGTTGAGGATCATTTGTTTTGAGTAAAATAGTGGAAGCGCATTCAAGTGAAGACCTAATTGAATATATTTTTAATGATACTTATATATTCACAATTACTGACTTGAAAAATATTTTGAGACAATTCTTAAAAAGGAAAACTGTGTTGGATAAATTTTTTGGATTAACACCGAAGTTCGAGGATTGTCCTAAACATGAAAAAGTTATGTGACTTAAAGAAGCTTGTTCCCGAAGAGGAAACGCCTATATTCGCTAAGACGAGTGAGTGATATTCTTATAAGAAGCATATTGGCGCCTTAGAAACTATATGCCTCATGTTGGCTACCATAAACTTTGAATTGCAAAAGCAACATGAAAATATGGTAGTGTTCGATAATGATCAAAACCCTGAAGATGCTTTATCAAGAGAAATCTAGATAACATAGGTTTGAAATATCCAAAGCCTTTTCTAAAGGCAAGATAGTTGAGGGAGCTCTTTAGGTTCCCATGTACATAAGATGATTGGGTATTTGGGAAATCTTAACATATTTGATTTTTCCTTCTGGAAAAGGTTATGATTGTTTTGATCATCCAATCGTTTCTATAGAGCTTCATCGAGTTTCTCTTAAACTTCAATATGAATGACATGGGAAAATATTTTTTTAAGATTCTAGGTATATTAAGAACTAGTAAGAGACTCGTGCGTTTGCACGGGTCGAGCAAAGTCAACAAAATATTAAATAAATATTCAATAATATATTAATGTAGTTTATTATTTTGTAGTAGTTGTTAAATGTAAAAAAATATATTAATATATGGTGTATCACACACACACACATAGGCACACACACACACACCTCTAGCTAGATTTCAGATCTTGATTATGAAGATTTGTAATTATTGAAACTAAGCGTTCTTGAAGGTTTTATAAATGTTTTCAGGAAGCTTGAAAGATTGTAGTTGTTGTAGTGACGAATTCCATTGAAAAAAATGAGGTTCTTCTCTCCAGGTTAACCTTGGTACTGCGGTGTAGAAGCCTATAGACAAGGTATGAGTTCTTCTAAATCTTTGGAAAGTTCATCGCTCAAGAAATCAGTAGGTTCATAATTGATTTTCACACACAGAGACTTGGAGAAGATTGGTGAAGCTGGAAGATTCAAGAAGCGAGAATCATGTAAATATTTTGTAGAAGAATTTGAAATTATGTTGTATACAACTCAAGATCCAGATAGGATATTTATGTAACTCAGAATTATTGTGGAATGTTGATTGTATGAACTCGAATAATATTTGTCAAAACATAGTGGAAGAAAATCTTTCAAAGGAAAATCATTGGAGAGTAGAGTAGGCTCCTGCGAAGATGATTGACCCGAACCACTATACATCTCGGTGAAAAATAGGTGCCCGAGTTGTTAATGATCTACTTGTTGCTACTAAGGAGGCCTTTGACAACACTCTAGAGAAGGTCATCTTACTCAACCCTAGAATTCTTTTTTTTTACTAACGGAGCAGACGTATGGAGAAATCTGTTGTAGATGGGCATCTTATTTTAGTTGATTTATTTCTAAATTTTCTTATTTTGTGCGTGTTAATTTTGTCTTCTTCGACTGTGCAGTTTGTTCCAAATCCTTTTTTTTAAAATATGAATCTAATACTTAGGAGTTATGACAATGTCTTTGTCTCAATCTCAATTTGTGTATATTTCTATAATGTTTTCAACTATATTATGTGCTTTCATTAATGGTTTATGCATATTGGCTTATGAGAACATTCATAGCCAAATGTGTCTCCAATTGACCCCTTTCTCTGCTTTTAAATATGTAAGGAATATGGATTGCTGGGATGTTCATCTCGAGGTTGTCTAATAGATTGAGAAAAGGTCTCGACATTGTCGTGGTGGTGTTTTGAACTTCACCTTCATTTACCTTAATTGGGTATGAAGTGCATGAATGCTTCTATTTATTTCATATATTCATTCTTCTTATTGTTATAAACCATTCTATTCTTCAATTTTAACGTGTTTAGCTAACCATCGTATTTATAAATATAAGTACTCAACAAAGTCAATAAAAATTGTATTTGTGAAGTGAGTAGTTTATCGAAAAATAAAAAATATTTAACCATGACTTGTCAAAACTCTTAAATTTGGACATTCCTCTTCTCCCACTCCCTCCTCTTGAGACACTTACGTTTTTACCACTATTATCAACCTTCAAATATTTTATCAATTAAAGATACGTGGGTCTCACATTCGTATGGGCTTCACCTAAATTAATAATTCCTTATTCTAACAAGAGTGTATTCTTGTCTTCGCCATCAATTTTCAACTAAATACTCTGCAGATCATCAATAATCTTTCGAAATTTAGTCAATTTCCCGACCATGGATTTTTTTCACTACCATTCAAAATGAGGAAAGTTGTTGTCTCACACACAACATGTTAGCCAAAGATTTGGTCATATGCGATGGTTGAATCTTTGCCCATATATAAGCAACAGTCATCTGCTCGTGTTAGGTTTGCATCCATTGATGCCTCATCCTCCAATGGTTCAACACAGTTCTGTTGAATTAAGATTACTTGCATCATCTCTTTCCACAATTCAAAATTGTTGTCTCTAGTAAACTCTTTGATATCTAATTTAGAATTCATGGTGGTCACTTATAAAATAAATGAGACCAAAAGAGTATTTAGATTACAAAAAGTGTGTCCATCTTTAACGAATTTTTACCCATAATAGTATCAAACCAATAATAATATTTGGTTTGAGAAATCGTTAACACAAAACTTTCTCATAATTTCTATAAACCATATTAATCTGCAATTTTAACTTGTTTACCTAATAATCATCACATTTTATAAAATGAGTATTTAACATAGTCTCTAAAAAATACACTAGTCCACTTTAGAAAGAAAAAATTAGTCCACAAATAAAAAAATAAAAAAAGAGTGTTACATATTACATCACATTCTCAAAAATAAAATATATAAAAAAAATCCGTCTCAAGATGTTATGTGGTTGTCATGAAATACTTTTCTATAAATATAAATGTGAAATGTGAGAGAATGAATCAAATAAGAAAATGGAACTTGTCAATTGTTATAATAAATAATAGATTTTGACTCTTGCATTGTTATAAATAATAAATAATATTATTCAAAGGAAAATATTGAAAAGTGTTTATTCACGTAGAGATGGCATGGATGTGATGAAGTAGTTAGTATTAAATAGTATTTGTGAACCAACCAACCAAAGGAGAATTGGTCAGAATTGTGAATAAGGAAAATGTTGAGGAGCGAATTAGCAAGCCGCGGACATGAGTGACCATACACAACAAACTATATATATATATATGCATGATATCGTCTCTTCATTTCACATCAAGTTCAATCATCAACACTTAAGTTACATGGCTTATAGAATGATCACTACTAGTTTTGTTGTTACATTAGTGCTGCTATCCACAATATGTGATGCACAGTTGTCTTCTACATTTTACGACACTACATGCCCCGATGCACTAACCACCATTAGAACTGCCATTCGTACTGCTGTCTCTAAAGAGCGTCGCATGGCTGCATCTCTCATTCGCCTTCATTTTCATGACTGCTTTGTGCAAGGCTGTGATGCATCAATTTTGCTGAATGACAGTACCACAATCGAGAGCGAAAAGACTGCACTTCCAAATCTTAACTCAGTAAGGGGATTTCAAGTCATTGATAATGCAAAATCACAGGTAGAAAAAGTATGTCCAGGAGTTGTGTCTTGTGCAGACATAGTAGCTGTAGCAGCACGTGATGCATCATTCGCTGTAAGTTTACAATTTGCATTGCATGCTTAATATTACATCCTTTTGATTTGCATTGCATGCTTAATATTACATCCTTTTGATTTGCATTGCATGCTTAATATTACATCCTTTTGATTTGCATTGCATGCTTAATATTACATCCTTTTGATTTGCATTGCATGCTTAATATTACATCCTTTTGATTTGCATTGCATGCTTAATATTACATCCTTTTGATTTGCATTGCATGCTTAATATTACATCCTTTTGATGTAAGTTTACAATTTGCATATCATGCTTAATATACTAGTATTTTGATGTGTATATTAATAATTTGATATTTACAAACAGGTAGGTGGTCCATCATGGACTGTCAAACTTGGACGAAGAGACTCTACTACAGCAAGTAAAACTTTGGCCAATACTCACCTTCCATTATTTACGGACGATCTTCAAACTCTTATATCTAAATTTACAATTAAAGATCTTACCGCCAAAGACATGGTTACTCTATCTGGTAAATTTCATTTGTTTCAAACATGCATATTTTTATATTTCACCAAACATTTACTTATATGAAAAATTAATATTGAACGACCATTTGATTTTAAATTAGGTGCGCACACAATCGGACAAGCTCAATGCTTTACATTTCGTGATAGGATATACAACAATGCTAGTGACATAGATGCTGGATTCGCTAGCACTCGCCAACGTGGTTGTCCGTCTACCAGTTCCACTTCAAACAATCAAAAGTTAGCAGCACTGGACTTGGTTACACCAAATTCTTTTGACAACAACTACTTTAAGAATTTAATTCAAAAGAAGGGTCTTCTACAATCTGACCAAGTTCTTTTCAGCGGAGGATCTACGGATTCTATCGTTTCTCAATACAGCCAAAATCCTACAGCTTTCAAGTCTGATTTTGCTGCTGCTATGATCAAGATGGGAGATATTCAACCATTAACTGGATCTGCCGGAATCATAAGAAGTATTTGCAGTGCTCCCAACTAATTTTACAAATTCTTTCTTCATCGCAAACAATCAATTGCTATTGCTATTAATTAAATGTTGTGTTTAGTTTTCAACTTCATTATTAAACTTATTCTTTTATTTATTTATGTTTTTCTTGTGTATTCAATTGTAAAGTGTTAAATAGTCATTTATTATTGTATGTAATTTTACTATGAATGTATTCTTAGATGTTCATTTAACAAAAATTTCTAGGTTTATATTATGCTTTTAAATTGTAATATTTATATCCTATAAATATAACTCGTGTATTATTGTAAAAGTTACACTCATAAGTATTATACAAATCTATTTTAGATCTTTCTCGTCTCCATGAAAGAGGTGAGTTGTGATTGTAAATATTATGAATAGTGAAAAGGAGAAAGCGGCTAGGGTTTCCATTAGAATGGCAAAAAGTATCAAATACAAGGCTTGCTAAGTTAATATTTTGTAAAGTATAAATAGACTATAATACTCTTAGCCCAATTATTATAAAATCACATTTCTCATTATCTAAAATCTCCCTTCAAACTCATGATTCATGAAACATTGAGAGTTTGTCAACCAAGAAAGGAAAAACGTTCGATGGAATGAGTTTTTGTGAATAAATCAGCAACATGTGAAGTTGAAAAAACAAACGGCAAAGTAATGGTGCCATGCTGAAAGTGATGAAGAGTGAGATGGCAATCAATCTCGATGTGTTTTGTACCATGATATATTGAGTTTTGAGCAATTTGAATGGCACTCTTATTATCACAATACATAGGAGTCGGTCAAGAAAGTAAGACGCACATATCCGAGAGTAACCGACGCAGCCAAACTATTTTCAGCGGTGGTAGAAGCCATTGCACGATACTCTGCTTTTGTAGATAATTAATCTAGATAAATTGATTAACACATATATGTCCAAAAAAAGAACCATATATATTTATTCTTAACCAAAATGTGATTGCAAAGTGATCCTCCTGAAATAAAACTCAATTTATTTATCAAGTTTGTTTTTCAAATCTCATATAAAAAGAGAAACAAAAATTAAAGTTAAAATGAGTGACATCAAATATATAATTTGTGTAGAAACAAAAACTAATTTCTATATAATAAATAAATAACAAGTGAAATTTTTAACTATCTATAGAAATATACAATATAATACAAATCCAAAAGAAAAATAAGATAAGACTAACAACAACAAAAATAAATGATGAATGATACACATTCTAAACTGCGTTGGGACAGACATGATAAGTAAAATACACAATGGGGATTATTTCAGATCACAGTGAAGAAGATAAGTAAAACCCAGAAAAACCTAGAACAAAACACAATGGTTGAAAATAAATAGTTGTAAAATAAATTATTATTAAAAGTAGAGAACATATCATAAACATTTTGTGTTGCAAACCAAAAAGTATGGATAATTTAAGGAAAGAGTAAAGGATACAGAGAACATGTAGGATTTAAAGCTCAAATATAATTTATAAGTTGCAAATAACACTACTAAAAAAAAGACATTTGAGAAAAAGTTTTTACATCGGTATCAAAATAGGTGATGTAAAAAATACAGTTAACATACTTTTTACATCAGGTATTTATTTGCAATGATATAAAAAATAAGGGAAAATTTTTTTTCCGTCACCTATTACATCGGGCAATCTCATCCACCGATGTAAAAGATTTCCAGAAAAAAAACACGGTGGCATTTTTGTAAATAAGAAACAAGGTGACAAAAACGTTAAAAAAATATAAGACATGTATTACATCGGTTTATATATAAACCGATGTAAAAAATGATAGCTTGAATTAATATATAAAATATATTAAAAAAATAATAAAAACGCGTGTAAAAAAAAAAAAGAAGAAGAAGATATTACATCGGTTGGGACTTCCCACCGATGTAAAAGCCAACGCGTGTAAAAAAAAAAAAAATTAAATCGGTGGTACTTTCCACCGATGTAATAGCCTACGCGTGTAAAAAAAAAAAATTAAATCGGTGGGTCTTTCCACCGATGTAATAGCCTACGCGTGTAAAAAAAAAAATTAAATATTAAATCGGTGGGTCTTTCCACCGATGTAATAGCCTAACTTAAAAAAAAAATATTAAATATTAAATCGGTGGGTCTTTCCACCGATGTAATAGCCTAACTTAAAATAAAATAATAATAATATTAAATCGGTGGGAACTTCCACCGAGGTAAAAAAGTATATAAAAAATATACTTTTGTACTGAAACACTGTACATCTACCCATTTTCCATCTACCCATTTTTCCATCTACCCATTTTTTCCATCGACCCATTCCGCCACCACCGCTTCCGTCAACGGCTCCAACACCCAACACCGATTCACCGCCGTTTCAACGGCTCACCGTCGCCTCGCCCGATTCACTGTCGTTTCAACGGCTCACCGTCGCCTCACCGTCGCCTCGCCCGATTCACCGCCGTTTCAACCGTCGCCTCACCGTCGCCTCGCCGTTTCAACTGGTAACTTCAACTGTTTTATACCATGTTCTCATTTTTAAGCATATGTTTCTTTATTTTGTTTCCTTTGAATGGAACTTATGCTACGCAGCTTGTGCTTGTGAGTGATATTCCATCTGATATTGTTTATTTTTCTCTCATTTATAACAATATCAGTTTTTTGTTTAATACAAAAGTTAACATAATTGATGTTGGAAGTGGTGAAACCTCAACCATTTGTCTTTGTTTTCCTGGTTTTGACACAAGTTCAAACAAATTTTAATTCCATTTTTTAAGTATTAATGAAGTTTCATATCTTTAACCATTCATTTTTATTCACTTAAGACCAACCTGGAAAAAGTAAAAAGTTTCTTACTCACAATTTTTTTTTCCACTCAAAGGGATGGTGAAGTCGTTCAACTCAATTAATTAGTATGAATAATTTATTTATTTATTTATGATTTCGTGGTGTTGTTATATTGGTTGCACATGCCTTGCATTTAATTACTCTTCCAATGGTGGTACTATAGTGGTGTTGGTGGGACACACTCACTCACTAGCATGGTTATTGTGTAAATTAATGTGCTACTTTTTCTACTCTATTATAATTTATACGCTATATTGTACAGATCAAATAAGTGTTGTACTATGTGTAAGTTTTGATCATTAAATATTGTCGTTTCATCAAGTGAGATGTGGTAAAACTTATTGATTCAATAATAAAAAATAAATTTGTCTAGGGAAATGAGAAGGTGAAGGAGGTCAATTCTTCTCAACATCATCCTCTATTGTAGCACACTTTGATTATACCGACTCCAATGTCAATCCAAACATGCTCTTAGTCCATAACCTTATTCATTAATCTACAATAATAAAAAAACAATTAATGATAGACCATAGTTTCTCTCTGATAACCTTTCACTAATTGTCTCAATCTAGAGGAAGCACTAATAAACCAAAGTAACATAATAGTATAGTATTTCTTAGACACTATATTTTCATTTGACCAAAGATAAACACATTATGAATAAACCAAATATATGTTGTCAGAAACTTGTTATCAGGTAGGTGAACTTCAACTCTTATTTTCAATTTTCAACACAATACAAAAAAAATCTCTAAAATCTCATGAATTCTTTTTTGAGTATGTTTGTCTTTTTCAGTATTAGAAACCAATAAATATAATATATAACCTTCATTTACCTCTTCTATTTTTTGAGTATGTCTGTCTTTTTTGATTCTATTTTTCTTTCTCCGCGAAGCAGCGCAACTTGCAATCTCGGAATCTCCGTGAAGTAGCGCAGCCGCGGACACACCGTTCGTCAGACCTTCCTCTGTGTGAACATAGTTATGGATCGTAGTTGGATGAGAGCTAATCGATTAAGTGACGAGTACGAACATGGAGTGATGGAATTTCTACAGTTTGCTGAAAGTAATGCTGACAAAAGTCTTCCTACGCTTTTTCTCTGTCCATGTATTCGTTGTGCAAATAAAGAACCAAAACGTAGTAAGAAAGAAATCATGGATCATCTAATTTGTGTAGGGATTTGTCAAAGTTATACAAAATGGATATGGCACGGTGAAGTAGTAGCAAAGTCAAACGTGTCTCAAAGAGATGGTGTTAGTGTAGAAATGGATGATCGTCTAGAAGACATGATGCGTGATATTGGACAAGATTCGTTTAAGAGGGCACATACATATGATACTATATGCAATGACAAGGATAAACCATTGTACCCGGGATGCAAAAAATTTACACGTCTGTCAGCCGTGTTAAAATTATTTAATCTGAAGGCAAAGAATGGGTGGACTGACAAAAGTTTTACCGAGTTGCTTGAATTGTTGACCGAAATGCTTCCAGAATGTAATGTAATGCCAAGTCGTTATTAAGAGGCGAAGAAAATATTGTGTCCAATGGGTTTGGAGTATGAAAAGATACATGCATGCCCTAATGATTGCATATTATACAGAAAAGAGTATGAAAAGTATAATCATTGTCCAAAGTGTAAGGCTTCGCGCTACAAAAAGAAAGATGGTGAGTCAATTGATGATGAGGTGGTAAAAAAGGGTCCTCCTGCGAAAGTGGTATGGTACCTACCAATAATTTCAAGGTTCAAGAGATTATTCGCCAATGCAGATGACGCAAGGAATCTTAGATGGCATGCAGAAGAAAGAAAAAATGATGGACAAATTCGTCATGTAGCTGATTCTTTGCAATGGAAGAATATAGATTCTTTGTTTCTAAATTTTGGCAAAGAGTCGAGAAACCTTAGACTTGGACTTGCTACTGATGGAATGAATCCGTTCGGTAATCTGAGTACTAACCATAGTTCTTGGCCTGTTCTCTTGATGATTTACAACCTATCTCCTAGGCTGTGCATGAAGCGTAAATATATTATGTTATCGATGATGATATCGGGCCCAAAACAACCAGGAAATGACATAGACGTTTATCTAAGTCCACTGATTGATGATTTAAGAGTGTTGTGGGAGGAAGGGGTGGATGTTTTTGATGCGTATTCTGGCGAACAGTTCAATATGCGTGCCA